AACTAACCTATTAACTAATACTTTTTATATCTGGAAGTATTTTTTTTTGTAATTATTTTATAAAAAATCCGTTAGCAAAAATTGTGTCCGCAAACGCAGGCTTGCTTGATTATCGCTCTCTTTTTTACACATTTTGTGTTTAGCTGATTGCGTCAGGTAAGAGTGGAGAATATATTCACCTGAATGAATATTTACAACTTATATATATTTGTAGATCGGTTAGTTATAGTAACGCATGCATATACATATTAATTGTGATTAATGTTACTATAGCTCATTCGTTATAACGCATACATACATAATTCCTTATTAATTTTTTTTATTTTCTATCTCTCTCTCTCTCTCTCTCGCTTTCGTTTACACAGATGTATGGTCGCTATACCAAAGATTTAGGAGAATTTGCTAAAGATGAAGCCAGAAAACTCAAATTACTCGAGAAACGCCGAAAACAAGAAGACAAACAACGAAACAAGGTAAACAAACAGAAAAGCATACAAATACAACTTTTTTCGATGCAATTCAATTTCATTAATGCAACTTTTATTAATTACGTTTATTTAACTACTTACCTTGCATGCAACTCTTATTAATGCAAACAAATTCTATTTATCTGCTCTTGTGTCACAATAAATTACTGCAATTATGTAAATGAGAATAACGATTGCGAAATGTAATTATTTAAGGTAATGTAAATATTTACATTGAAATTTCTTACTTGCAAAGTAGACCGCGCTAATGCAAAAGATCAACACAAAGCTTGCGAACGCGACCTGCATATTTTATGCTAATTTAATTTGGCTATACATATATATTTACATTATTTTATAAATAAGCAAGCACGACAAATTGTTTCGCCGTTTGCCAGATTAGAGAATTTTTTTTTTTAATTTTACACTCCGCTACAGTTGAATAGGCACTTAATTGGAGGGATAAGAAAAGCTTAGTTTTAATTTTAGAAAATAACACTGGTCAACAGTAGTTTTGGTGCAGAGGAGCTGCATTTTTTTTTTTAACTTAGGACCTTATGGGCCAAAATCGTCAAAATCATGGAGGTAAAGAAATTAGTTGCGGGCAGAGCACGCACTGACATATTTTTGAATTTATCGCGAAATGTACTAAATAACGAACTATAAAGTAATTTCGGGAACATATTTAGAAATTAAACACCAATAAAAGATATATTCGAAATCAAAGTAGATTAGAGATTTTGTTCCAGGTACGGTTTGCCAGACGTACTGATTTTTCAAATAGCGTACTGATTTGTACTGAATTATCGATTCTGAGCATACAAATATTGTAATAGGGGTCTTCCCACCAAGCTTGGTACTCGGTGTTCGGTAATTTTTTTTAATGTTTTTACATAACGTTGGAAAATCGTTAAACTGTACATGTCTACTGTAAAAAAGTAAGAAGAAATAATTTAATGATAGTCGACATGTTTCGGATAATGTTTGATAAGTGAGTAAACCAATCGCGATAATATGATGGAGTGTAATCTATTTAAAAAGGGGCTGAGGTTTTTTTTTTTTCGAGTGTTGTTAGTTATTTCAATTTAATACCAATAAATTTGTATAATTGAATGGCTTTTGCTTACATTCGATCATTATTTTTTTCTTAATTTACTGACATTGTAAAAGAGTTTTGCATACAAGACGTCGAGTAAGATACCCGTTTTATCAAATTCTTATCCTTTCAAAGTTTTTTCGCACTTGCAAAAAAACTGATTTAAGCCTTGAGGATATATGGATAACGTTTTTTAATAGTAGTACCTTTCTGCAGATTGAAAAATATCTAATTTTGTTTTTTTTTTTTCAATACCACACTCAAACGAAGCAACTGAACGGATCTTAAGTATAAAATTTGCTTCCTGTCGCAAAGAAAGAACTTGTCCTAGTGATGTGACCGTCATGCGAGCCCGCTATGTTCGGCACATTCCGCAATCACATTCTTAGTAGTGAATCAAAAATGCTCCCAAAAGTTTTGTGTACGTGTAATTTTTCTATTAAAAAAAGTTAGTCGCCTTTTTTGAATCAGTCTAATGTACATATATCCATAATGTGCCATAAGGCAGTCCCAATTTCTGAGAAGGGCGATCAGTCGACCAATTCGAAAAATCATAAAAGAAAAAAGTATATAGTTTTTTGCTCGCGGCGCTTCAACAGTCGCAATGACCGACAAAACAAAACTCTTGCGAGCCATTTGAGCGATCAGAGGTTCGAATTGTCGGGCAGCGGAATTTTTATTCCATTTTTAATGTATTTACTTGTACAGTTTTTATTGTAATTATAAAATTATATTGCTTTAACACAAATATATAATTTTTCATTTTATTATTAAATTCTATTTTATTATTAAATGTTTATGGTATTTAACTTTTTAGGGTTTTACCGAATGAAATAATTTCGAAATTTGTAATTTATATTTCAATTCAAATAATTCACACTAACTTACTTAAACCCTAACTTATACGACCCCGCCACGGACATTTGTGAGGAAAGCAATTAACAGCGTTTTAGTTTTGATTCTGATAATTCGAAGGCAGATTTCGTTAATCGCATAAGTTGTTCGAAATTGTCGAACTGGGTAGCCGCCGCTTTAGCTTATACTAGTTAATGAACTAATATCTTTACTAACTGGTTTGGATGTTCACAGCAGGGAAAGTCAAGCCAACATTTACACATACGCACACACACACATACATATATATTTACTTACCTCAATAATTTCGCAGCATTTTAGATTGCATATATGTAGGGGCTATTTATTTATGTATCGTTTAACCCTCATGTAGTCAACAATTGAACGTTTATGTATTTATCCAAATTTGAACGAATCGTTTATAAAGCAGCAGTGCTGGGAAAAAATATTTACAGGAATTGCTGGGCAAACGTTCGTCACGTGTGTTAAAGGTCTCATCATGGATATGGAAGCGTACATTTGCGCGCCTCGGCGAGGATTGGGTATTCTTAGCACTGCTAGGTGTTATAATGGCATTTGTATCGTATGTGGTGGACAAAGGCATCAATGTTTGTACAAATGGTAAGTTTAATAAGTTTGTCGATACATAGATATAAATATATACAAAAGAGGCAGCATTCACAAAAAAAAAATTAATTGCCGATTTTTTGCCATAAATCATTTCGTAAGATTTATCTCCAATTAATGTAAATACATATATTTATCTTCGTGATTATATTTTCTGAATAACGTTTTTAGTTATTAATGGCTTTGAATCTGTACAATTCACAAGCAATTATATTTCCGGATCGGATTTTTGAGTTGCTTGAAAAGGTTGTAGTCACTTTGGAAAAAAATCGCTAGTATAGAATTTTTATTACATTACGTATAAATAAACTTATTCGCCTGCAAAACTTGCTCTTTGTTATCCTAAAATTGAATGGGCTACAAAACTGCATACCAGTTATTTTCCTAAAAATTCTGAATAAAAAGTTTAAAAATTTGTCGAATTTTTAAGACATTTAAAAAATTTTTTAAAAATACTAAACATAAAATAGACCATGGAAATATAGCCAAAATTCTTCAAAAAAAGGCGAGTCTATTCTAATGACCGCCAGTGTATATATAAATTTTATAGTCTTTAATAATTGTATAATTTTTCATATAAAACGGCCTCAGGCTCAAAAAAATTGCTGTATATAATTCTTTAACAATTTCCCCTCTCTATTCCATACAGCACGTGTTTGGCTGTACCGCGATCTCACATCGCAGCCGGTTACGCAGTATTTAGCCTGGGTCTCATTGCCGGTCTGTTTGATACTCTTTTCAGCTGGCTTTGTGCATCTAATAGCGCCGCAAAGTATAGGTGAGTTGGTGGAAAAGTATATTGGTATTGTACTTAAATGTAAATATAAACATTTCTACTTATTATCAGTAATATTTGCATTTGCTTGTAATAATCTTTACTAAAACAACAAAAATTTCACACTTATTAGCTCGCTTGAAATATATGTACAATGAACAAATATTTAAAGTACGTTATGCCCTACTTTTCTTCATAAGTCCGATCCTCATAATTAGCGATAAGCTATTATTATTTCCCCCCCCCCACTTAAATATGCCGAGTATTGCAAACAAGCCAACGTATATAAATGTTATTAATTTTGCACTCTATTAACCACCTTGTGGCTCCTTAAGTTTATTTGTGTCATTGAAGTAAAGACAATATTCGATAAGAAGCGCTTCCATAGATTAGTTGTAATTAAATGGCTAACTAGTTTTTTTTTATTAAACCTTTAATTTACAAGGCATGCACACTAACTTTTGTAGACAGATAAATAGTACTTACTTCCCCATTTTTATTTAAACGTAAATTTCACATTGAAACTATTTGTTTGATTTTCGTACTTACTTACTTTACTTCAATGGTGTAACTAACGGTACTAACCTACTAAAATATTGTTTAAAGTAAATTTCTACAGAGGAGCAATCGAAGAATCAAAATAAACAAATTTTTATAGATGCAGAATTTATTGTCTTAGTTTGTTTGAAATGTATAATAATTAATATTTAATTATAGTAAATACCAA